CATTCATATAATCAATCATGTTGTCAGAGTTAACGAGGAAGATCATATGAGCATCTCAGTGGATGGAGAAAAGGAATTTGAAAAAATCCAACAGCCATTCATGTTAAAAGCACTCAAGAAAATAGAAATTGATGAAGATATATCTTTAACATTGTGAATGTGAGAAAGAGATAGATAGATGATAGATAGATATAGATAGATAGATAGATAGATGATAGATAGATGATAGATAGATAGAGATGATAGATAGATTCATCCCCTAAAGCCAATGTTTTGCTAAATGGGGAAACACTGACTTTTTCATTGGAGTCTGAAAAAAGATATATATAACCTTGTATATAATTGTATCTATCTCATTGCTATTTTCCATCATTCTGTTGATAAAGACAGAAAATAAAATAGCCAAAAACCTGTCAAGAAATACCCCAAGTCAATGAGTAGGACTGTAAAGCGTTCTTGACAGACACCAATGAGCCTGGGCCCAACGGAAGGAGACACACGCTTGGTTCAGAGGACGAAACATCACAGGATGTCAGTTCTCCCCGGTTTGTAAATTGAATGCAATTCCGGGAACAACGTCTTCACTTCTCCCCCGGAGCTAGACAAGTTGATTATAAAATCCATTTCGAGGAACAAGTAAGCAAGAATAGCCAGGAAAGCACTGCAGGAGAGGAAAGGGAGGAGGGCCAGCCCTCCAGCCACTGAGGCACGCCAGGAACACCTGTCATTCCAGCGGCCTCGCTCAGGGAAGGGCACGCATTTAGACTGCAAGTGGCAAAGCCTCACTAGTGTGACTGAGTTCTACTGGTGACCTTGTGGGGAAACTGTCGCGGGCATTGCTGGTGAGAAGGCAAAGTGGTACTTCCCCCCCAGGAGGGAGAGGTGGTGATGCCCAGCTGAATGCCACATGCATTTACCCTTTCACCACGAGACCCCACTACAGGAGATCGATCCCACAGAAACCCTGGCAATAATATGAAGAGATGTCTGCAGCAGGCTTTGCATTGCTGAATTATCTATATATACATAAACACCTAAGCGACTGTCCAACCGGTAGCTATGACGTGCACTGACCACCAGGGGGCAGATGTTCAATGCACAGGCATGGAACATGGAACAGACTGATGAATTTCAGGGGGTGGGGCAGCAAGAGATTAACCAAAGATCTTATATGCATACTAGAGGTCTGGTGCATGGATTCATGCACCGGTGAGGTCCCTCGGCCTGGCCTGCGGGGATCGCCTGCAACCCAGGCGAGTGCCCTTGACCGGAATTGAACCGTGACCTCCTGGTTCACAGGTCAACGCTCAACCACTGAGCAACGCCGGCCGGGCTGAATTCTTTTTATTTTTATTTATTTATTTTTTGTTAATCATCACCTGAGGATATCTTTTCCATTGAATTTTAGAGAGAGTGGAAGGGAGAAGGGAGAGAGGGAGGGAGGGAGGAGGAGGGGAGAGAGAGAAGATAGAAATATCAATGTGAGAGAGATGAAACACGTGGATTGGTTGCCTCCCGCACGCACGCACGCAGACCAGGGCGGAGGATTGAACCTGCAGCCCAGATACGTGCCCTTGCCCAGGAATCAAACCTATGACCCTTCAGTGCATGGGCTGACGCTCTAACCACTGAGCACCGACCAGGACTGAATTCCTTTTAATAGCAGAAGACTAGAAACACCAGGAGACGGGGCATAAATGATGGTAGCTCCACTAACGCAGAGTTCAATGGTGAAGAGAAACGGAGACTGTGGGGAGGTGGGAGCGGTTGAAGGGAACTTGCCTGTAGGATGGACGAGGCAGCGAGAGGGCAGCTGGGAGTGGGTTGGATGAGGACCCTCCAAAAGAATGTCCAGCTGGAATGCGTGAACGTGACCCTATTGGCAAACAGTCTTTGCAGAGGTAAAGGTCTTCGGGTGACATCTTCCTGGATTAGCTGGTGGCCCCGCGTCCAATGACAAGTCTTCTCGTAACAGACGGGAGAGCAAGAGACTGAGGCGGGGCAGTTGAAGATGGGGGCAGAGGTTGGAGTGATGGCTCTACAAGCCAGGGACCTCTAAAGGCAGGGTGGGGCCCGAGCAGCACGGCTCAGTGGTTGAGCATCGACCTATGAACCAGGAGGTCAGGGTTCGATTCCCAGTCAGGGCACATGCCTGGGTTGCGGACTTGGTCCCCAGTAGGGGGCGTGCAGGAGGCAGCCGATCCATGATCCTCTCTCATCGATGTTTCTCTCTCTCTCCCTCTCCCTTCCTCTCTGACATCAATAACAAAATATATATTTTTAAAGAGACAGGGCAGGGATGCAGCCCCAGCGGCCGGAGGAAGCAGGAAGGGGCACCCCCAGCCAAGAAGCCTTTGGGGGAGCGCGGCCCTGCCGTTGCCTTGATTCTGTAGACGTCTGGCCTCTAGGGCTGTTGAGAAGAAACTTCTGTTGCTTTAAGCCAAGCCCGTGGTACATTGTTACAGTGGCCAATACAGACTTTGGTGGTCTCTTGAGATACATCTTTGACAAAAGCCAGGGGGAGAAGAGTATGCTTGCTGTGCTGCCATGTCTCAGAGGGAGGGAGCACATTCAAACACAGATGTGTTCCTATGTGTGCATGTATGTGCACCTGGATTGTGTGTCCACTTCTGTGGACATGCATTATATGTGCTTATATACTTATATATCTGCTTATATTAAAAATAATGCAGGGAGCCCAGCCAGCATGGCTCAGTGGTTCAGCACTGACCTATGAACCAGGTCACTTTTTGAATCCCCGTCAGGGCACATGCCTGGGTTGTGGGCTCGACCCCCAGTAGGGGGCGTGCAGGAGGCAGCCGATCCATGACTCTCATCGTTGACGTTTCTCTCTCCCTCTCTGAAATCAAAAAACATATTTTTAAATCATTTTAAAAATGGATAGAACTGCTATCATTTTGCAACCCTCAGTGAATTCATGGGTCTGCGCATGGATAGACATTGCGAACTTACGAAAAGAAACCTTATAAGCCACCAGGTGGGCGAACATATGAATGTCTCGCCACCCACATCCCCGCAACGGAAGGGGCGACAGGAGCTGGACTCTGATCACGCTGCTGGATCCAGCGGCTCTTGCCAGGAGTTACTTCGAGGAGAGTTCAGAGGAGCAGGGATACACTCAGCGAAGCGCGGAAAGGGGGGGACTAGGACATGCGCCCTTGTTTCTTCGACAAATGACATGGTGTGTGTGTGTGTGGGGGGGGTGGATCCTGTAGATTAAAAATAGACACAACTCCAGGGAGACACCACTTCGCACCTAGTAGGACGGCTGTGATCAACATGATTGAATGAGCGTCACAATGTGGAGCCACGCCCTGACCGGTTTGGCTCAGTGGATAGAGCGTCAGCCTGCGGACTGAAGGGTCCCAGGTTCGATTCCGGTCAAGGGCATGTACCTTGGTTGCGGGCACATCCCCAGTGGAAGGTGTGAAGGAGGCAGCTGATTGATATTTCTCTCTCATCGATGTTTCTCTCTATCCCTCTCCCTTCCTCTCTGTAAAAAATCAATAAAATATATTTTAAAAAAGAAAAACAATGTGGAGCCGCTGGAACCCTCCTACCCCGCTGCCGGGAATGTCCATGGTGCGGTGCTGCGGAAGCCAGCCTGGCAGTTCCTCAAACGGCCCAACACAGAGCTACCACGGGACCCGCAAGTCCACTGTTAGAGACACGGGAGAAATGAAAACACCCATCCAAAACTTGAACGTGAATGACCACAGCAGCATGATTCATAACAGCTACACATAGCCATCTGGGAGCTGGATAAACGACGTGTGGCCCATCCACACGGTGCGCTATCATTCCGCAACCAAGAGGAGTGGAGTTCCGACACATGCAGCACGGGTGAGCCTGGAAGGCACGCTGCTGAGTGAAAGACGCCACACACACAAGGCCACACAGTGTATAACTCCACGGTTATGAAATGTCCGGAACAGGCCCAGCCACAGACAGAAAGCAGATCAGCGTCGCTGGGGACTGGGGGAGAATTGGGGTGACTGTTAATGGGTACAGGGTTCCTTTTGGGGATGATGACAAAGTTCTAAAATTAATAGCGATATTTGCACAGCTCTGCATATACTAAAAACTGCTGAATTATATGCTTTTTAAGGGTAAAATGTATGGCAAGTGGATTCTATTTCAAACAAGCTGTTACCAAGAAAACCAGATGGATGGTTGCCAGAGGTAGGAGGTAAGGGGGTAGGAGAAATGAGTGAAGGGTATAAAAAACATATAAAGATTTAAAAATCCCAATAAACAGATATTTGGATTCCGTTCAGTGCAGCGGTTCTCAACCTGTGGGTCACAATCCCTTTGGCGGTTGAACGACCCTTTCACAGGGGTCGCCTAAGACCATCCTGCATATCAGATATTTACATGACGATTCATAACAGCAGCAACACGACAGTTAGGAAGTAGCAATGAAAATAATTTTCTGGTTGGGTCACAACATGAGGAACTGTATTTAAAGGGCCAGAAGGTTGAGAAACACTGGTTCAGTTTAGAAAAGAATGATCACCCTGGCCAGTATGGCTCAGTTGGTTGTGCTTCATCCCATGCACGCAAGGGCTGCCAGTTCGATTCCTGGTCAGGGCACAGGCCCAGATTGCGGGCTCGGTCCCCAGTGGGGGGCGTGCAGGAGGCAGCCGATGATTCATTGATGTTTCTCTCTCTCCCTTCCTCTCTATAAATCAATCTTTTTAAAAACTCTTTAAAAAAAGAATGGCCTATGAGACGACTGAGATGAACCCTGGATAATGACCTTAAGGACGTAGTTAAGTTGTGGAAGGACGGGGGAGGCAGAGGGAGGTGTAGACAAAACAAGAGCCGCCAGGACCGAGCCGTGTTGAAGTCGGGATGGCTGCGTGTGTGTTCATTTCGCTATTTTTATGCCTCTATTTGTATGTTGAAAAAAATGGTATACATCTTTATATATTTAAGTCTCCGTAATGACAGTATTTTTAAAAACCACACATTTGCACTTTGTTGTTAAGGCAGATTAGTTTAATTTTATAGAAGAAATATTTTCAAGCAATACAAATGGCACAATTAGAACAGAGATGACTACTGATTAGAACTTATTCCCACAACAGGAGGTGACAATTGCATGATCAGATGCGGTGAAGATCAAGTTCCCTTTTCCCGTGTCTGGATTCAAACTGATGAACATGGCACGGTGCTGGGTATCCAGGGCGTGGCGTGGACCAGGTGAAACAGAAGGTGAAAACACCCCTTAAGACGACAGGACTTCACTTTCTGACGCGCGGGTGGCATCGAAAGCAGCGTCCCTGAATGAAGGCGGAGTCCTCCTGCCTGACCCCGGCTGGGCCGTGGCTGGCTTTGTGCCCTTTGGGGCCTGGGCAGTGGGGGCTGGGGAGGCCCCAAGTGCTCCTCAGACAGACAGCAGCGCAGGCCTGCGCTTGCTTCTGGGGTTTCTGTTAAGCCCTGGGGCGGGGAGGCACCCCGCGTGTCAATCTGTCCGCTCTGGGCAGTGAGATTTGTTGCCAACACCACGTGAGAGCTTTCCGCGGGGCAGGGGGAGGTTAGCAGAAAAGTGGCCTCGAGGCACCGGCTTCAGGTGGCAGCCACTGAACAGGGGCGGCCAGGCCACGGCCAGGGGACTCTCCCACGTGAGGGAGCCGTCCACCCCGAGGCGGCAGTGACCGGCCCCGCACCCCGAGGGCAGGGCAGACAGTGGTTGGTGGAAGTTTCAGCAGCACACGGAGGGGGCCCGGCCACTGTCCTCCGGGCTCCCGACGCTTTGCGCGTCTCTATCTCTGTTGTGGGCATGAACACAGAGAAATCAGCCAAAAAAAAAACCAAAACGCAACAAAAAACCAGCGAGAGTCAAGGCACAAATACATAGCAAAGAGATGACAAGGGTGAAAAGCATAAAGTTTTCAGTCTTACCACCACTGACAACTTCCGTTGCCCGTGACAGGTCGCGTGTCAATGAAATGCTTTTACAAAATTCACTTTTAATAAATGCAAAAGGGAAGGTGGGCTCTACAAGGGGGCGATTACAGACTAACGAGGAGAGACATGGATTAAAGGGGGCACTTCAGGGAGGGGCAGGGAATCTAGGGCGAGAGAGTTCCGCTTTCTTCTCTAATCCGTGTGACCACCTCACTTACTTCTCTGAGGCTTCAGAAGGGAGAGTGCATTCCATATACAATAAATACGCATTAGGCAAAATATTCATATCATTTAGCATTTCAAAAGAATAGTGGGATTTTTATTACATAAAACAATTTTCTCGTGAACTACTTCTAAGATTTCTTAAGAAATATTGGGTAGATTCCAGTATTGGGGGGAAGGATTCTGATTTCAATCAAATATCTCACATCCTCTCCTGTGAATGACTCGCTGGGTGACAGCAGTCACCCGCGTGTGCATGCGCTTCCTTCCAGAAAAGCGCCTTCAGAGGTCAAGCCTACGTCAGAGGTCAGACTGCCGTCGCCTGGGCGGAGTCACTGACTGGTGACAGTGCGTTTCTAAGTCTCTTTCACTTTCCTTCATGACAGAGCAGTAGAACGGGAGCCCCGCACCGCCTTCCTGATGGTCAAGGTCAGGGTCGGATGGGGCGCACCAGAGGGGCAGGCTGCCCGGGTGGGTGCAGGGCAGCGTGGGCAGCCGCTGGGGACAGGCAGGCCCCAGCCAGGGCCGCTTCCAAAGCTTCAAACTCGGGGGGGAGCACAGAACCGTGCGCTGACACAACACAGAAATGGGGGGGTTCGGCGCCCAGTCCCCGCGGGGGACCGGGCTCTGCGACTGAGCCCCAGGTGGGATCTCAACAGGACACAGTGAGTGTGACAGTGGACAATATACACAATCAAGGCACACAGGAGACACTGGTACGAGTGACGAGTTCAGCACAAAGTGTTTGCACGTCCGTGTCAGAAACAAAACCGGCCCCGAAGTTCCATTCTACTGCATGACAAATACTGAGGAATACAGTTTCAGCCTTAAAATACATCTTAAAGTCAGTATTTTCCTTCAAGGAAAAAAGTACTATAAATAAGTTACAATACAGTGAATTTGCCTGAACTCACTTCGTTTCTGTCTTCCAGCCTTTAAATCAAATAAAACAGCGTAAAAACTGTACACTCTTAACAGGATAGTTGATCTCTTATAAAATAACTTGTCTTCAGAGATGTCAATTTCACAACAAGGAAAAACCAAGCCCTGTTGCCGTCACTATTATAAAATATATATGTATAGATATATGTGTGTTTTTTTACAAAATGTGTATATTAATAGCTTTGCACAAATAGTTTAAAGACAACTTTAGCTAGTCTAAGAACTTCATGAAAATAAAACAGGAAGATAAATACTTCGTGTGTACAAAGCACTACATCAAACATCGTCGGCAGGCAGAGGAGGTATGTTAATCCTTGGTCTTGTAAAAAACGCTATCTTCTCCCTGCGATGGGAAAGAATTCCAGGTTAGACGCCCACATAATGCAAGCAGAGCTGCCAGGAGGCTCGCAGTACCAATGAAAGCTTTTCTTATCCACAGAACGAACTGAACTGAAATACCAACAACAAATCTGTTTGCATATGGAGTCTCTACTTTAGAAAAATTTTTTATTTTTTTGGAGAGAGAGAGTAAGGGAGAGGGAGACAGAAATATCAATGATGAGAGAGAATCATGGACCAGCTGCCTCCTGCACGCCCCCTACTGGGGATCAAGCCTACACCCCGGGCATGTGCCCTGACCGAGAATCGAACCAATGACCTCTGGGTTCATGGGTTGATACTCAACCACTGAGCCACGCCAGCCGGGCTAGAGTCTCTAAATTTGAATAGAAGTTACAAAGGACTGTGAGGGCAAGGGTTTGTCTCTAGTGCCTAGAACAGTGCCTGCTATGCGGCAGGCACTCAGTGAACATTCGCTTTATTAAAAAATGAATAAATAATGTATACAAATGAAGGTGTTCTAAATCAGAATTGAAGGAAGGTAGCTACAGTGCTTTATGTTCTTTTATGATGGGGATGTGAAAATTCAGGGCATAACAAAATTCAGGGTAAAAGTCAGGCACATATTATTCAACCATAAAAAGGAATGAAGTGCCCTGGGTGGTTTTGCTCAGTGGTTGGTGCATCGGCCTGCAGGCCGAGGGTCCCAGGTTCAATTCCAGTCAAGGGCACGGACTTTGGTTGCAGGCTCAGTCTCCGACCCTGGTCAGGGCACACATGCGAGGCAGCCAATCGCTGTGTCTCTCTCACATTGATGTTTCTCTGTCTGTCTGTCTCCTTCCCTTCCGTTCTCTTTAAAAAGATCAATGGAAAGAATATCCTCGAGTGAAGATTAAGAAAACAAAACAAAAAAGAGGAATGAAGTTCTGACACATGCTACAATGTAGATGAACCTCAAGAAAAACATTATCCGAAGAAGCCAAGCAGAAAAGACTACATACTGTATGATTCCATTGATGGAAACGTCCAGAACAGGCAAATCCATAGAGACAGGGGCAGACTGCTGGTTGTCAGGGGCTGGGGGAGAGGGTGACTACTAATGGACTTCCTTCGGGGGTGATGGAAATGTTATGGAACCAGCCGTGGGCAAACTACGGCCCGCGGGCCGGATCCGGCCCGTTTGAAATGAATAAAACTATTGAAAAAAAGACCGTACCCTTTTATGTAATGATGTTTACTTTGAATTTATATTAGTTCACACAAACACTCCATCCATGCTTTTGTTCCGGCCCTCCGGTCCAGTTTAAGAACCCATTGTGGCCCTCGAGTCAAAAAGTTTGCCCACCCCTGAACTAGACAGAGGGAGTAGTTACAAAACACTGTGGCTGTGTTAAGTGCCATGGAATTGTTCACTTTAAATGGTTAGTTTTATGCTGTGTGAATAGATGAGGGAACACTGATCTACAGTATTCAAATTCAAGGCGACGGTCCCTCTGGTGTGGGAAGTCTGAGGCCGCTGATGTTTCATTCTTGCCATGTGGAGTCTGTGACAATTCCCTGAACTATTTCACACCTAGGACATGCACACTTCCTGCACGTGCGTTATGCTTCAATCAGAAGTTAACAAAAAAAGGCCACAGGGAAACGCAGATATTCAGGCAAATTATACCTATGCAAAGAGCCACTACAGCCAACAAAGGGAACGGACTGCATGGCAACATGGGATATTTTCATTTAAACAAAACTAAATGCAAAATGGAACCAGGCCTGGCAGGCGTAACTCAGTGGTTGAGTGTAGACCTATGAACCAGGAGGTCATAGTTCGATTCCCGGTCAGGGCACATGCCCAGGTTGTGAGCTCCATCCCCAGTGTAGGATGTGCAGGAGGCAGCCAATCAGTGATTCTCACTCATCATTGATGTTTCTCTCTCTCTCCCCCTCTCCATTCCTCTCTGAAATCAGAAAAAATGTGTTAAAAGGAACTGGGCAAATGGATGGTGATAGAGGTAGGGAATGGGGTGCATGGGTAGAATTTATCCCGGGGACCGGGTCTTACCAGTCCAGGGCACGTGTCCAGGTTGTGGGCTCGATCCCCAGTAGGGGGCGTGCAAGAGGCAGCCAATCACTGATTCTCTCTCATTATTGATGTTTCTCTCTTTCTCTCTCTCTCTCTCTCACTTCCTTCCTCTCTGAAATAAATAAAAAAATATTTTTTAAAAGAAAAAGAGACTAACAAAAAAGGGAAAAATTTTAAAAATGGAACCTACATTACTATAAATAGCTTGAAAAAAGGTGTCTAGAATAAAAAGAGCAGAAGAAACCTGAAGATGCTAACAGCACGGGGAGCCCTGTCTTGGGGGTTTCGGGACTTCCGTCAGCTGATGAGGACAGAGGCCTGACAGTGAGAAGCCGGAAGCGACTGCGCCCCTACCTGAAGGTCTGCACCTGCACGGGCTCCTTGTGGTTCTGCCCCCGCAGCTGGCAGACCCCTTTGGAGGCCTTCTTCAGCATCTTCTCAGCTGCCTGTTCTTGATGGAAGTCAAGCTTGGTCTGTCTGGTCTGGAGCGGCAACATTGGGTGAACAAGGCGGTTTACTTCCAGGTTTAAGGAAGAATGAATGAAGCCACTGCCAGCTCGGGGGGCACGAAGGGGAGAAAGGCCCACCGCCCCCCACCCCCAGGGAACCTTCACAGCAGCTCCTCAGGGTCACGCCTCACAGACGTAGGACCCAGAACACCGCGCTGGACAGAGAGACCCAGCTGCAAGGCGAGAGGGGGGCGGCTGCCATGAGGGTGTGACCCCCT